GGCGACGGACGCTTGCATCCTAGCCTCCAACAACGCCTCCCCGGCGCAGAGGGGCCCCCGGAGGGATGCACAACCGCTCCACGCCACGCCGCTTGCGGCGGTCCTCTTCCCAGCTCCGCTGAGGCCTTGCCCTTATCTTTTTTTTTCGTTTCTACCTCCTGTATCGGAGTTTTGTTAGTATCGAGGTCTCGGGAGTTTTGTGCGCCATAAATTCGTGCCGTCCGCGGCGAGCCGAGCCAGTGCCACGGCGCTCGGCCTGTTGAGAGAAGACCTGCCCGGACGGCAGTGACAATTTACCCGACATCAATCGTCGACGGCAAGCTCGATCGAGAACTGCGCCTCCAAAGTCGCCCAGATTCGCCTCTCGCGGCGCGCTGAGTTAGTATCGCCGGTGCGCCAGCCAGCTCTGCTCCACAGCAGGGCATGCCCGACTGGCTCCTGCTAGCCGTGCGTCCTGGTGGCATCCATTGCCAGCTCAGGTAGCCTCAGGAGGTCGCCTCGCGCACAACTCGGCGCCGCACAGCACCGCTCCGCGTTACTACCGAGTTAGTATCGTCGACCCACAGAGACTGCTCTTCTGTAGGTGGAGACGACAAACGCCGGCCGGGTCGGCCGCCCCCATCGCCGCCGCCGGGGCGGCGGCGGCCTCGGCGGACCATCCGGCGCGCCGCGCGCCCGACGGGGAGGTGTTCACCACTCCTGGCTCCTCACCCCGCCACGCCCAAGAGGTGGAGGGCGCGACCGACGACTCAGCTGCCCGACCCGCCGCGATCGTGACGGCCCGCGGCGATGCCGCAGCGCCACACGACCCGCAGCAAGCCACCTGCGCCTTTGAGCAAAGCAGCGTTCTATACAGCTGTACAGCTGTATGTGGGGACGGTTTGCAATATATCGCCATCGAGCGTCGAGCGTCGATTTTGAACGTTCAGCTGTCCCAGTCACACCAGCCGACGGTCACTGGGTCACAGCCAACGGTCAACATATGGGTTCATGGGGCATGTCATCATGGGAGAGACGTGTGCCGACCCAAACAAGCCAGGCGCATTCCTTCCCTTGAGCTGAATCGCAAGCACGCGACGTCTGAATCGGAAAGGAAGCATACGCGGGACAGGGCGGGGTGGGGTGGGGATCCGCGTGAGCTCCCGACGAGACATGCTCGTTTGGACGGCGGGCGGGCCGAGGGGAGCGTCGAGACGCAACGGTGGCGGTGGCTGTCCCTGTCTCGCGTTTCAACGCCGCAGCCGTCGGCCCGCAAGCGTCCTTTCCCGTCTGGGAAGCCTTGTCGTAGTTGGGGCTCGCTTACATGATGCAGTAGATCGACCGCTCGTCGGCCGCGGACGTGATGGCGTCCTTTGCGGCCTGGGAGGCCTTGTTGCCGCCGAGGGACAGCACCTGCGTGCGGGGGGGGCAACGCGGCGTGGGAGGGGGGAGGCGGGCTCCGAGGCTGGGGGTGAATGCGAGTGAGGGGGGCCGCTTTGCGCGCACCCGCAGCGCCGGCGCCGCCCCGCCGGCGATGGCGTCCGCGAGCGCCTTCATGCCCTCGTCGCCGATCTGATTGCCGTTGAGCTCCAGCCGCCAGAGCTTTGGCGCGGCGCCGCTCGCCAGCAGCTCGGAGATCTGGATCGCCTCCGCGTCGCCCCATCCCAAGTTACGGTAGCGAAGCCCCTCCGCCTTGCCAAACTCCTCCTCGAATGCCTGCTTGTACAGCCCGGCGACCAGCGGCTTGTCGTCCTTGCCGTTGGTGAAGCGCTTCTCCTCCAGCCGCTCGGCGAACCGCTCCGGGAGCAGCGGCGGCGGCCTGCTGCCTCCCGTGCGGCACGAGTTGACGACATCGAAGTAACGCCGCTCGTCGCCTGTGAGCCTGCCGAGGTCGAGCGAGTTGTGGGAGCCCTTGGTCATGGTCGCCCAGCTCGACTCGGTGAAGCACCACCTGCACGCAGCGCGAGGAGTGCGTGCAGCGAGCGCGAGGGAATGCGCAGAGGGGCGGTGCGGAGAGAGAGAGGGGCTTGGGGGCGTTGGCCGTGTGTGCTGGGGCAGGGGCTGGGCGCTGCACACCCGCGGTCGGGGTAGGCGGCCACGTTGGCGGCGCTGGGCAGGTCGTAGCCCTCGGGGTAGCCCGCCGGGAAGGTGGTCAGCCGGAAGACGGTGGTCTGGGGGTGGGAGTAGAACGAGCCCAGGAAGCCCAGCCCCTGCTTGAAGAGTTCGGTCTCCGCCTCCGTGCGCTCGTGTTGCAGAAGTGAGCCGTAGTCCCAGAAAATTCCCCAGCGCCCCTCGGAGAGCATCGCCTTGAGGGCGCGCGCCACGACGGCCAACTGCGCGCCCTTGGGGTCCTGCGCGCGGCGGGTGTGCGGCGGGGGTGAGGGCGGCCGGTGGGGCGGGGCTTGCGGTGGCGGCGAGGCGAGGGCGGCTCACCGGGTGGTCTGGGTGCAGCCAGGCGTAGGACAGGCAGATGATGGGCAGGGGCCCGTATTCGGGACACGCGACCTTCAGCTCCTCGAGCGAGATGAAGGCCTCGGGCGGCAGGTCCTGGCGGCGCCGGATCCTCTCGCCCCGCTCTGCGCAGGCCACCAGCCAGCGGCCGTCCAGCATGGCGATGGCGCCGCTCTCCAGGGCGGGCTCGAGCTCGTGCCCGCGGAGCTCGCGCCACTGAGCCTCTTGCTCCGGACTCACCCTCGGCTTGCTCGCGTCGGCGCCCATGAGATTGTCCTGAATTGCTGCGTCCACGCTGGCCGCCGGGAGCGCGGCGGCAGCCTCAGCCGCCCTCTTTGCACGCATGACCTTCACCTTGGCCACCAGCTCTGCACGGCTGACAGACACCCCGTCGGGGGCCGGTAGGCAGCGGGCAGCCGCCGCGCGCCACCAAGCCGCGATGCTCATCATGCTTTTTGTGTGCGAATCATGCTTTTTGTGGTGCGAATCGCAGCGCAAAACAGAACCAGCTGCAGAAACAGAACCGCTCAAACCATCTTCTCAAGGCACCCAAAGGCCTCGACTCGCGACCCCGCTACACTGACCACGGTATGGCGCACGGTGCGCGCCGGGGGGGGGAGCCAGCCCCCACCCCCACCGCGCGGCTTAAACGTACTTTTGCCATGATAATCTCGCGCACAAAAGCTTATGGTGAGAAGTGGCTGAAATGGTATAGACGCACGTGCCATTCGTCCAAAAGTAAGCTGATCGCAAAGAAACACCAAAACTATAAGATGATCAAAGTAAGCGAAACTGCAGAGTACACGATAGCACAAGAACTGCTCGACGCGCACCAGAGGGTATGACGTATGATGAGAAAAATGCGATCATCATGAGACATATAAAAACCCGAAGAGCACAGTTTCAGCAGTGAGTCCCCCTCCCCCCGCCCCCCCCGGTGGGCATCGCCAACCTCGGCGAATGGAGGGCTCTCATTGCGAACCCTGAGGGCCGAGACAAATTACCAAACCCGCGAGACTCTAAACGAGACCCCCGACACCTTGCAACTCCCTATCATAAGTGTGACACTGCACCGTACATGTTCCGTTCCCCCCACGGGGCTCTCCCAAATGATGAGACCACCGCCGTCGGCGCGCTGCTGTGGACGGGGCTGGTGTGTTGAGTTACCACCGCCCGATTTTAAGACCTGCACTGTGTAACACGTGTAGCGTGTGCCTCGTAATTCCTTAAAACTTGTGACTTATGTGTGACTCACATAGCGTGTGCCTCGTAATTCCTTAAAACTTGTGACTTGTGTGTGACTCACATAGCGTGTGCCTTGTAATTCCTTAAAACTTGTGACTTATGTGTGACTCACAGGTGACCACCGCCGGCGCGCTCGCGCTCGAGAGCGAAGCCTTCAAGTTCGTGAGATATAGCCGAGATGTAGCCGAGATACAGCCGAGATATATGCCGCGCAGCGCGCCGCTGCCTGGCTTCCTGCCTTGCTCCTTGCCACCGCAGCCGCTGCCGCCCGGCTTCCTGCCAAGCAGCGGCCACGCTGCACTGCCTAAAGATGCCTCACATGTCGCGCCCGCCCCATTGGGCAGGGCGCCGACTTCGCACGCCGCCGCAGCCACCGCCGCGCCTCCGCCTCCGCCCCCGCCCCCGCCGCCCGCCGTCGCTGGGCAAGCACCGCCACCGCCGTCGCACACCGATGCCACCATCCGCCAGTGCAGCGGCAGCGCTGCTCTGCACAACGCCTCGCCCTCCACGCGCCCCAGCAGCGCCGCCCCGCCCCCTCCGCCCGCCATCGCGATCGTGCCGACCGGCTCGACATTCAATTTCTACGAGCTCTTCAACGACCCGCGATACCAGCCCATCCTCAACCTCTGCTTCCACTTCCTCGACCCCGCTTTGTCCAACGAGACCGAGGGCGCGGCCGCCTTCGCCGATGAGGCGACCGGCAACGCCGCCGCCCTCATCCTTGACTTCGGCCGCAGCCCTGGCGACAGAGCGGCCCTCGCGCGCACCCGCGCGAAGCAGACGGGCAAGAATGGCGGCATTGGCATGTCCGACTACGCTCGCCGCCGATTCCCCAGCTTCCTCGCCTCCGCCGTCACCTCCCAGAGGGCGTGCGCCAGGGTCTACCCTGCGCTCAGGGAGATGTCCCTTACCCCCCCAAACACCGCCACCGCCACCGCTCTCGTCGCCGCCCACGGCGTCATCGACTCCGCCCTCGCCGATGTACGCACCCGCCACGCCGCCCTCGACGAACAGGTTCGTCACTGGGTCGACGGCACCACACGCTCCGCCTACCACCCGCACCTCAAGCGCGGCTTCCAGCTTCCGCCCCTCGCCGCCCTGTTGGGTGACGCCGACGGCACATCTTCCTCGTGCCTCTCACAGCACTCGCTGTCGGCTGTCGTCAACAACGACGCGTGGCTGGACGCCAAGGACGCGTGCGACTCCTTCGATTCACAAAACGCCGGCGCCACCGTGCCGCACCGGGAGGCCACCTCCCTCATCAGCCACTCGCAGGTGGGCTCGGGAGCTTGGCTGCTCCGCCTGCCCGACGCCACAGTGCCTCGCTCCATCATCCCCTCCGATGCCTTCCTCTCGGCGTGCCAGCACCGCCTCGGCCTCTACCTTACCGCCCTCGATGACGTGTACAACGCGCTCGAGGAGCGCGGCGTTACCGTCACCCAGCACCAACGCCTCGGCAACCATTGCCTCAATTCCGCCAACGCCACCCACCGCCACAACGCCGCACTTGCAGCCGTCCACCGTGCGCTCACCAGCGTCACGAGCGACGCCCTGCCAGTTGGCTCGATCCAGCTGGCCGATAAGGGCGACGGGACCCCCGCCTCCAAGGCTGAGCGGAGGGGCTACTACGCCCACGTCAACAAGGGACACATCCCAGACTTGATCCGCTTTGGCTCCACGACCACGTGCTGGGAGTTCAAGTGCTACACTCCGTTCCTCCCCTCCGGCGCAAAGGGCAACGGCTCTGCTCGCTGCGGAGGCGCCGCCTCCCGTGCCGACGGGCACTTCATCGCGCTTGGCAACACTGAGGAGCACCTCTCCGTCGTCGTTCTCGGCCACCCCCAACGGGGTGACCCGGACACGGAGGAGCAGTTGGACCGCGTCAGCGGCGACGGATGGGTGGCAGCGAAGGACGGCGATTATGCCGACGCCCTCGCCAAGGGCCACACGGTCATCCTCCTCGTGACCGAGTCGACCGGAGCATTCTCCGCCGACCTCGATCGCGTCCTCCGCCAGCTTGCGAGGACCGCACGCGCCAGTGGGTCCATTGACCACACGCCGTATGGCACCTCTCGCGCGTCCACCCGCTCACACTACACCTTCCACTCCGCCGCCATCTCCGCCGCCATCGTCACCGCCGACGCCCTCACCATTCAGAACTCGGCCGCCGCCCTCGGCTTCGAGCTCACCCTCGACCCTCGCGATCTCGCCCGGCGCTCGACGTCGGGTCGGCCGCCATTGCGGTCGGCGCCACCACCTCCTCCCGCCCCCCCCGCAGCCACTGCCGCGCGGCTGCCAATGCGACCGACCCCACCCTCCTTCCCCGACCCCGCCCTAAACGCCCCCGACAGCGAAGCCCGCGCCGCGCGCGGCACCCCCACCGACTCTACCTCCGACCCCAGGGCCTAGGCGGCCCGCCATGAAATCTAGCCGTGTGTGCTGGCGTCCGGGTCCCAGCGGGTTTCCAATATATAATTCCTTACCTCTCTGGCGCATTCCGCATCGCGTGTGTCTCTCCGTGCTATGTGCTCGTCTTAGGAGCCTCGCAAGCCAACGCATCGCCAAAGTGGCTGCGCAACTCGACTTGCATCGCGCTCGTCCCGATCCTGCCTGTACTCATAGACTACATCTGCCGCGTAGAAGCGGTGGACATTGACCTGGGAGAAGACGACAAGGATACGTGGCTCGAGGAGCAGCTCGAGGACGACCTCGAGGAGCATGCGGTCAACCATACGGATCTGCACCTACTCGAGGCGTCGATGCTGGCCGACCTGCTGCTCATCTGCGGTTCCTTCGTCCTCGCCGAAGCATCGCAGCGCCTCGCACGGGAGCGCCTCGGCAGCGCTGGAGCCCAGCCTGCATGGATCTCCTCCCCGTTTGGGTTCCGCAGTGTCTCCACCTCATCCTCAGAGCGACTCTCGGACCGTGCGTCCGATGACGATGGCGCCGCGGCCTCCCGCTCCTCGCCTGCCACGGTGCGCCGCGGGGGAGTTCCTCCACTTGCCAAGCTGCAGCCACTCACCGGCCATCCGTCGCAGCCCTGCGTGACGCCGGCTACTCGATGGCTGCCGACGGCAGCTCGCCGAGCGCGATGGCGCGAGGGGGCTGCGCGATTCGCCTTCTCGCCGCGACACGACGTCCGGGGCCGGCTAAGGCTCCCCGCAGGCCGCCTTCGCTCGCCACTTGCACTTTCC